TGTAAACCTATGTTGAGATTGTCTATAATGGACACAATGAATTAATGGAGAAATATTCCATGCATAGGAAAAACATTGTTGTTAGCCTCTGATTTTTTTTTTTTTTCTTTTCCTACCACTACCCTCCTTCACCTCCTCCTGACGCCTCAGGGTCTGGTTCCAAGCTGATCTAGATATAACACAATTAGCATTTAAGTTCCCACTGGCCACCCTTGCATGAGGATCTGGAGCTAGTCACCCTTCCAGATACTGGCTTTCACCAAGATTCCTAAGCCTCTTACACTGCCTACTGGAAGTCAGATGTCGTCAGTAGTGGTAATTGTGTTCAACTTCCCACTGAGTCGTAGTGCTCCATGCCTACCCACGGGTGCACACAGACGCGTGCCTTCATTCACATACACGTGCACACACATGTTCAGGGTTAGGTCTGGGCTTTGGTTTCTATGACTTTGTCTTGCTCTAGCCTGCCTCTCAGCCTGGGAGCTGGAGCTGTTCAATGCAGCGACTGAGCATTCAGGCTCCCCAAACCAAAGGTAATGACACAGTGGTTGGGAAGCTGTGAGATAGGGAGAAAATCACAACTGAAAGAAGTAGAAACCAGAAATGCACCAAATCCTAAGGCATTCACAGACAAGACGCCTGATGTAAGCCCCCACCATAACGGAAGGAAGAGGACCCAAACGCAGCTTACCAAGGACGGACTGCCTCAAAACATGCGACAGTGCAGCCAAAACTCTGAGAGACAAGTTAGAATCCTAAAAGGGCTTCCCACACCCTTTGGCCATGGACCCAAAGGGACCATACCATATCCCAATCCTAAATCTGTCCAGATGAGTAAGTCTCCTGCGCAATTCTGAGCTCCTGTCTCAGGCTGCCGGAAAAGGTATCAGAACTCAGTTACATGCTATCTCTGAGACAAGATAAAGGCAACATTTTAAAACTCACTGGAATTTTCACATAGAAAGAAAGAAACCTACATCATGTTCACCTAATCCTTTCTTCAAGCAGATATATTTGAAAAAAAAAAATCAAGATTTATATCTCTAGCTGTAATCATTCCAAAAGCAAGGCAGAGAATTAATGGTGTTTCATTTTTGGGGGGAAATTGTCTAAAGTCAATATAAATTACTTACATTATTATTGAAAAATCACGTATATAAATCTGATGTTTCTCTTAGGACTATGTTTGCAGATTTATAGACCCTATGCAATATAAATGAGAATAAAGAAGTAAAGATCTTAATTACTCTCATGCCACACAGAGTAAATGTTCTATTAACCTACCATGTTCACTTTGCTCAGGCCACCCTGGAATCTAGCTGCTCCCTGAATTTGAGTTCTGTACTTCCCTCCCGCCATACCGTAGCACAAGTTTTCCCTCATGTAGAAACCCTTTTAATGCCGCTCTTTTTTTACAGAGATATAATTGGCATATAACATTATACTAGTTTCAGGTATGCAATATAATGATTTGATATGTGTATCTTGTGAAATGAACAGCACAACAGGTCCGGTTAACATCACCACGCAGTTACAAAATTTTTCTCCTGGGATGAGAACTTACAAGATCCACCCTCTTAGCAACCTTCAAACATACGATACAGTATTGTTAACGGTCATCACTGCCTCTGTTTATCAAAGCAGTCTCTCGATGGCTACTCAAACGTCACCTTCTCCCTGAAACCTTCCGGTCTTGCCAGGTGCCCAACCCTGTAGAGCTGTCTCAGCTAGTGCTCAGCTTCCAACCGCCTGGGATTAGGCTTATCTGTGTCTCCAGTAGGCAGGGCCAGCATTATGGATGTACGACAGGTGAAGTCACACAGAGCCCTCCTCTCAGAGCAGCCCACACTTGGTTTAATGCCTATCTGTCAACATCTTCAAATTCTCAATAATTTTATCTTTGAAACTGCGTGTTATAAGTGAAATCTGATGAGACAATGTGTACGCCCATAGTTCCTTTCCACCTCATTGCATGTAGCTTTCTCGATGCCCCATGAGAACAGAATTCCAGGGGACCCACAATGGGTGGGAGTTTAGCAAGACTCCAGACAAGTACAAGGTAAGTGTGTTATGTTTATGACTGAGTAGTAAGTAAGCAGACCAACGGACAGCCCCAGATGGCCATGCTTTCCATCTGAACCAGAACTTGATTTGATTACAGAAAGAAGGCGACAATGTTCTAAATGTTAGCCAACTATTTATGCTGAAAATAACGCCATAGAAAGAAAGTGAAAGAGAGCGTAACCTGTAGTTTGTTTTCCTTCCAGTTCTTCCTTATTTATCAGTAAGCCAAAGCAGAAAATGTAGGTATGATATGCACATATCAAGAAATGAAATAGGGGCGCCTGGGCGGCTCAGTCGGTTGAGCAACCGACTCTTGATTTCGGCTTGGGTCTTGATCTCAGGGTCGTGGCATCAGGCTCCACACTCAGTGGAGTCTGCTTGAGATTCTCTCTCTCCGTCTCCCTCTGCCCCTGCTGCTGGTGCACTCTCTTGCTCCCTTTCTCTCTCTCTCCCCCTTAAATAAATAAATAAATAAATAAATAAGTAAGTAAGTAAGTAAATAAATAAATATTTTAAAAGCAATAAAATAAAAACAACCAAGGCAGTTTTGCAATGTTTCAAACTGTTCTGGTAAGAATGGAAAACATGAATTGTGTAATTTCAGTGATTCCACCTACAAGTTTAGTGACCTTATATTTGCACTTAAAACCAGCACTGCACAATATAATGATGAATTGGTAAAGTTCATGCTAATAATTTAAATTTTTAATCATTCTTTATTTAGAATAACATTAAACAGCAAGGAAAAAAACAACATAAGAGACCACAAAAGAAAAGAAAAAAACTTTGTATTTTATACCTTTAAAGGCCCAGTTCTCCCTGCTTTTCTGAACAAGGGGCCTGCATGTTTAATTGCTCTGGACCCCATAACCAGCTCTGCCACTAAGACAAAAGTTCTTTCGGGGCAGGGATTCTGCTTTATTCGTGGCTATATGATTGCAGCACCTCAGCTACTAGGTTGGGTTCATTCAGTATTCAATAAACATTTGTTAGATACAGAATGTGATGGGTATAATAAATAACAAAAGACCATAGGGTCCCAAACTAGGAAAACAATAATCCTACTCTCTATTCTGTGCGTCACAGACAATACCTCGGGTACTAAGCTCAGTACTAGGGGCCACAATGGAAAAGGAATTTAGAGAAGAACTCATCAAAAGGTACTGGGTTCACACTATTTTGACATCCTATTAGCTATATAACCAAAAGGAAATTAATTAATCTTTGTGACCCTCAGTTTTCTCTTTTGCAAAATATGGATAATAAGGTGTTAAATAATATCTAGAAGGAATACAACTACTGACTTCTAGCAGCTGAATGTCTGCCACAGGGAAAACAGAAGAAGGTTTAAGAGTCACAGGTAAGAGCACAGAAGGGACCACTGGGGAGAAATGTATGAGAAGACAGAGAACCAATATGAGGAAGAGTTTCTGAAGGAGGCAACATGGACCTGCCTGGGGATAGAATAAGCTCCCAGTCCCTAAAGAGAATAGAGGAGTATTTAAAAAAATCTTTAAGAAACATGTAATGTCTGATGAAGACTGGCCATTTTATAAAATAATGATGATAATGATGGTGGTAGGTACTGTTTGTTGGTGCATGCTAAATGCCAGACACTATGAGAAGCAGTTATCTTATTAAATTATAACAGCCAATCCATGAGGTGGGTGATATTCCTCTTACAGCTCTTACTCTTACTTACTCTTTTTTTTTTTTAACTTTTTTTTTATTCTTATGTTAATCCCCATACATTACATCATTAGTTCTAGATGAAGTGTTCCATGATTCATTGTTTGGGCATAACACCCAGTGCTCCATGCAGAATGTGCCCTCCTCAATACCCACCACCAGGCTAACCCATCCTCCCACCCCCCTCCCCTCTAGAACCCTCAGTACTCTTACTTACTCTTATGTAATGTATTCAAGGTCACAAAGCTAGTATGTTATGAAGCCAGCCACCTTTCACTGAATTCTCCTCAAACTCTGAGATTCAGAAATTTGGGGCAACATTTACCCAAATGCTAAAGGAAACAAGAATCATTACAAATTCCATGTCTGCATGTAAAAGACTCCCAGAATGGTCCCTTCAACTTCACACAAACATGACAATATTCATCCGAATCCTTATGAGGCAACCTAAAAAATACACTAAACCTGTTAGGGAGAATCACATCCTTATAAAACAGGGCTCTGAAAAACCAAGGAGCCAGAAAACGTTCTCCTTCCTAAGGCATCATCACAGTGACCGAGTTTCCAGGTTTCCCCAAACTGTTCCTCCATCTGGAGAAACCAGAGGTTCTGGAGTTCTATCACGATGCAGAAGATCCCTAAACACGGCCTCAGCCTCCGCCTTGGCAGAGGGAGTGAGAGCCTGGGCCTTCCAGACAGCAGCTTTGTCCCATTTTAAGAGAGGTTTTGTAGCTTTTTATACTTAAACATCTTGAAAACCACTCTAGGGAAGCCATACTTGGCACTTGGAAGTCTAGCGGGTGTGAAATTCTCTCTGGGTGGGATACTGTTCACTGTCTCTAGCTTGTCTCCTACCACTTCAGCCCAGAACATGACTGAAATCAACAACTGTAAAAGCAAAGCTGGGATTCTCATTTAAAGGCTTCCATTTTCTAAAAATTACTCAGGAGCCATGTAAGTGCTCTGTATTCTACCTGTTAGGATTGTTTTGAAATGACATCACCACAAATTCCAACTGGAAATTAAGAATTGGAAGACAGCCGACTCTGCTATTCCTAAAAGCACTTTAAACTCTTAATCTTCTTATATTCATTTCAAGTAGGTAACAAAGCACTCTGTGAGTACAAATGCATTTTTAACATACGTTTGCAAAAGCAAAAGCCCAGGACAAAGTGGGAGTCATTGGAGGGACTCAGAGTTAGAAGTAAGTTGATACCAGAGCTATAAATGGGATCCAAAACTCTTACCCAGGTGTTGCTCTCCTTCCAACTGGTGGTGGCGCTTTAAACATCTATACGGGTGTGCATCTATACAGGAAGAAAGGGAAAAAAAGACAAAAAAGGAAGGGAAAAAAATATACATATGTAAGAAAGAAGAACTGGACCAAGTCTTCAAGGTACAAGTAGAGAATATAGGAAATTAGACTACTGAATGTTTCATTAGGACAAAAATGTCCAAAAAAAAAAAAAAAAAAAAGCTTTGCCACCAAAAACAGTTATTCTGCGCTATCTGATCAGCAGTACAACACCTTATCTCTTCACATCACTAGGCAGTTTTTATATTTGAAACTACATAATATATTACACTCTAATACCTATCTGCTTTGAACACAGTAGAAAAACACCTACACAGCATAAATCATACATGACATCACATTAGGTCTTTTAAATAATGCTGTGAACACCGGGAAAAGTTTCCAGGGATCCATTTTTCATGTTCTTTTTGCTACTGCCCAAATGGAAGTGCCTACTTTGCCTCTCCTTTAAATTACATAAATCAAATGTATACAAAGGACTTCACATGCATGAAAAAACACATGCTTCTGCACAAACAGGAATGGCGTACCTATCTTCCCCAGGACCCAGAATGCCGAGTTCAGGCCTGATCTGTCCTCTATGTACTGAGTCCTGTATTATGTCTGATACCTTGTTTCTCCTTCTGTCCTCCTTTTTGACATCTCTGTTTCATCAATACCTCTAACCCACGGAAGCAAAGGACGGGAGAGGGAATACTCATAGCACATATGCACCCTCTCTCCTTGGCAGCATTACCGACCACACTGATGAAATCATCTGTTTGTCTGTACCTGAGCACAAGGACTGTTTCATTCACTTGTGTATCTCCCCCGACTAACACAATAGTAGAAACCCAATAAATGCCAAATACACATGCAAAGATTAAACAAAGCCAGGCAAGTTTACCTTTGTATTGTAACCCTGGTAATAGATTTTGGAGGAAATTCAACTTAAAAAAAATGAACTTAAAGATTCTAGGTTGTGGGGTGCCTGGGTGGCTTAGTCGTTAAGCATCTGCCTTCGGCTCAGGTCATGATCCCAGGGTCCTGGGATCGAGTCCCACATCGGGCTCCCTGCTCTGCGGGGAGTCTGCTTCTCCCTCTCCCACTCCCCCTGCTTGTGTTCCCTCTCTCGCTGTGTCTCTCTCTGTCAAATAAATAAATAGAATCTTTATTAAAAAAAGATTCTAGGTTGTTTTTAATTCACAATTATCTAATTCATCCTTCCTCAAAAAAAACCTCCTCTTTCTCTCCTTCTCTGTCCTTCTCCTTCCCTCTCTCTTTACATACACAGCTTCTATTTAAATCTATGCATGAAATACACTTTTACACTAGTTATTTAGTTACCCTGCTTCATCTCGCTACGAATGTAGCACATACGCGATACCCATAAAAACACAGTGATCCGCCTCTGTTACTCTCCCCACAGAGCCACTGGGACAAGGGGAAAGAGACAGCATGACTGCCACCACCGAATACTCTGCTGTCGGACACAACAAAGCTAGGTAACATTCTCTTGCATACCAGGAATGCAAACGTTATTCCATGAGATGTATGTCCCAACGTCCTTGATTATTAAATTGTAATTCTAAAGCATTTGACTTTGGCGGGAAAAGATAAGCTAAGACTTTTCCGACTGGTATTTAAAAAGCATGATGGAAACATTTTATTCTTTAATTCTGTTTTTATAAGGAAGACAAATAGGGTCTCCTTTCCCACTGGTTAAGTAACAGAGCAGCCAATCACTCTGAGCCTGATACAATGACTATAAAGCACCCTGCTCCCTTGAAATGCTTGAGTGTTAAGGGATCAGGCTCCAGCTAACTGGGCCTTTCTAATCACCACCAGTCGAAAGCACGGGGGCTTCAGGAACCACCCGTAGTGATGTTATTCTCGTGCTGTGAGGTGTCCCAGACAGAGGGCTCCGAAGAGCTAAACACAGCATCAGCCAGAGTCACGCTCCTCTCCCTGAGACCAAGCAGCAAAGCATAGCTTTTGTCTCCAGAGTCAAATCTGCCTTGCAGAAATGTCTGCAAGAGTAAAGACTGCTACTCTCTGCTGCTCATTTTTCCACAGGCACCTTCTGTCCCCCGACCAGCTACAAGCCACTTCAAGGCAGTTCTGATGCTCCTAACTTTCTTGGCGACCAGATACCGTCCAATGATGACAGTATTACTTTTCGAAGCAAACAAAGGAAACGTAGTTTTTGAAGCAAACATAGTCACACAACAAAGCAATGAAACAAGGTATGGCCGTGCAACAGAAGAAATGGAAATCCGTAGAAAAGCACACACCAAAGGACAAAAAGATATCTGAAGGTTTTCAACTCTGACTTTTGTTATAATTTTTCATGTTTCAACTTTAATTATTCAGTGACAATTCTGTGATCTGCATGAGTTTAAAAAGTAGACTATTGGAAAACACCTGAGTCACCCAACAAATCATAAACACGCTCTAAACAACCACTAACAATGAGAAGTACTGGTTTCGCGGGGAAGTAGAAATTGTCCTCTCATCAGAAATCAGCCCTTAAGAGACTGAAGAAACATGCTGCTCCTTTTAAGCAGAAGTGTTTGGACTTTGCCTTCAAGGTACACCCTGAAGTTCTCTGTGTTTCCATCCCCTGTGCAGGTGTCAGTCCTGATGTTCCAGCTCTTTTCTGGAATACTTTCACTATCTCAAACTCCAGAGCAAAGGCAGATGCCCCCTTGATCATTTTAATGGACTCAAGTTACATCCTTTTTTATGAGCATTCTGTGGCTAATTACATGTGTTAAACCAGATGGGAATGAAACAGCAACACTTTCTTGCTGACCCAGCAATAATGGGTATTATTTTCCTCCAACACACACACACACACACACACACACACACACCACACACACCCAGGACACCCAGGATCATGCCATCCCTACTCTCAGTAGACAACAGATTAAACAATCTAGACATAGATTAAAATGAATTCAACCCATGTTCTTTTCTACTTGACTGGCAGGCAAGGTAACTAGGCTGTCATTACAAAGTTGTTCTAGAAAGTTTGTTCTAGGTATGGGGGCTCCCCGAGGTCAGGGGATTCACCACCAGGAGAACAAGGATGGCAAAAGATGGTACTGAAGTCCACGTGTGGCTGCTGAGGAGGAACAGGGGAGAGAAGAAAGACAGAAAGAGGAGAAGGGGGTGGTCTGAATTCAGTATTATGCTAGATGGCCTCTCTCTACTCTCTGTCCCATCCTCCCTTCCCTATTGCCCCCACCTTCAATCAAATGCATGAAGCCATTTGACAAACATTACCAACTTTGAGTTTTTTTTTAAGACTCTGGCTGCTAAAATTATTGCATTATTAGGCATTTGCTTATTAATTCTTTCATTTTAAAGAAATAAAATCTTAAGGTCAGCTGTATATGCAAAATAACTATATTAGCATCTCTGGTATAAATACTAGTATCACCAATCCAGAATAAGAAATCATTCTAAATTTAAAACAAAACCTCCCTCGACACTGGTTTCTACTACAGAACATACCCAATAGTCTAATATACTAAAGGCCATGGCACCAGCTGCCAGAATTTAATACCCCTTGGGCTGTTATAAACCCAAACCCCCCTCCTCTTATTTTCCTTTTCTCTTTTCTTTTTCCTTCTTCCCTTGAGAGGGGTGAAAGGACAGGAAGCAGGTGGGGATAGGGCAAGTGACACGGGAATCAACCAGGTTGGACTTTCACAAGTCAGAGCACATTCTTTTTCTAGGAATGTCCTCACAAGAAAAGAAAAAAAAGTGAAAACCTCAAATTCCTAAGTTGTAGTTCAATTCTCTTGCTTATGGAATTAAAAACTCTCTGAACAAAATGGCAGCACTTGTCAGTTTAAAGACTTTGAAGGGGTAAAAACATTTAGTTTCTTTCTTTCCATATCTATTTTCCAAGGCTCTTTTGATTGTAAGAATTCACAGGTTAGTGAGATGCATGTGAATCTAGCCTGACACTCATCTCTCTGGCATTTAATGCTCTATCCCTTCAGTGAACATCCGGAGAGCTTGGGCAAAGACATCATTGTTTCCCATTAAGTAAGTTTACTGAGATCAGTGGCTCTCTGAGAAGGTAACAGATTCTGAGTAAAATAGGAACTAATAAATTCATTTGAGAACTACTAGGTTAAAAAAAACCACATTTGCTTATAGGAGAACTTCTTGGACAAGTTGTGTGAGGTGCATTGGGAGTTTCTAAGAGAAGGGAATAGTAAATAGTTCCTGGCTTATTCTGACTTATTGGACCATGAATTCCTTTGGGGTTACATATAACTGAGCAGTGTTTTATAGAACACACGTTGAAGACAAAATGGGCCACATATTTATAATCCAATCGTACACATTTGTAAAATATTTTGTCTACATTATTCTGTGTAGGCAAATGAAGGTGTGGGGAGCATCATCAAGAGTCTGAGTGACTAGGAGAGGAAGCTGGAGGGAAAGAAAGTTTCTTCCCTTTCTTTGGTCAGGGAAGCTCCCAGTGAGTTCCTAGGCACACAGTTGCCTTCCAACTCAACTTGAGCCCCTCTTTCAGCTTTATTTATTCAACCAGGAATAATCATCATAATAACCACAAAAGCCACTGACTTAGTCCAGACCTTTTGTTTTACACATGAAAGACTGAGGACCAAAGACGTTATCTACTTTGCCTAAGGTCATTCAGTGAGAAAGCAGCAGAACATGGAAGAGAAAATCCAATATATTCTACCATATCCAACATTCCCCAAAATTGTATTTACTCCAGATACACTATAAATAATTATAATTATATATGCTTAGATAAAGTAGACAATCTAAATATCTATTTATCTCAGATTAAAATGCTACTCTTTTGATTAAAGTACAGTAAAACCTCTTAACTATACTCTGCAAATTTGGCATTTGGGATAATGCAGCTAGGCCTAGGTAAACATTTCCCTTTCATTATTTATGAAGAAGATACATGTCTAATGTAAATATGATCAGCACTGGAAACATTTAAAATATGAT